TAGTTTTTCTTGACCTGAACTTAGTTCCCTTTCAGCTGATTCACTCTATACAACACATACTGTATGGGATACCATAGCCTTACATGTCCTGGCTGAAGACACCTCTATTTAAGACAGAAAACCTGTGATGACATGTGCAGCCCCACCTGCACATATAAACCCACGTCACTGCAGTTGTCCCTCATTCTGATGGTTGCTCTTTGACGCATTCAGCTGTGAGATGGGGCAACGTGGCATGGCACGTCGTACCTCTCCTACAAGGAAGAGTAAGAACCCTAACCTTCAATTCCCTTTCAATCAGTTCACTCAGTTCAACACATATTGTATGGGATACATATTCACGCCCCATAGAGCAGCCACTGAACCCAGGGATAAAACCTCAGATACTCTCACACATTTTGGACCAGGCAAAAAGGACAAAATGCAGCACTGATAGTAAAACTGGACAAATGTGTGCGGTGAAGACCAACTGGCTGCTGGACACATATCACCCACAGATACCCCTTTAAATAACATCCATGTAACCCTGGTTGAATGCACCCTCACACTCTGAGGCAAGGAGACACCTTTGCTGCTATAAGGCAGAAAGATCCTCACAGTAACCGGCGGGTGGTGTCAAGTGTGAACACAACTAAAATGCTAAATGCTGCTACCTCAACTTGCCGAGTGTAAACCAAACACGAACAGTTAAATGGGTTCAATCATAAATAATAGGGTTTTCAGAGCACAAACACTTGTGTGTTCGGGTCATTCAGTGTTGTCCCAGCTTCTGACACACAAAATAAGGAGACTTTCCAGTTTTTACCTCAGCACCTCTCACACAACCTATTGCATAAAGCAGCACTGTGTTAGATAGTGTAGAAACACAAAGGAAATATGTGTGAAGATATATAGAGGATGGAAACTTCAGAGAAGTCTGCACCTAAAGGGAGTCAAGGACGATAAAAACAAAGTCAAGGTGACTGTGGAGAGCAGGTGCAATCCTAGCTGATAGGAAGAAGGAAGCAAGAGGTTGACTACAGAGTCTAGGGAGCAAGAGGAGAGAGAGAGAGAATTGAGTGTGTGTGTGTGTGTGTGTGTGTGTGTGTACGAGGAAAAGAGACATCCAGATTGAGAAGAGACATAAGAGACACAGGAAATCTGCAAGCAAATTTGACATCATTAGCCAAGAGGCAGTTAACAAGTCTAATTAGAGGGGAGGCAGGCAGGCAGTGCTACCAGACCTGCTTCCGGACCTCAGACAGACACACATAGTCATATAAACACACACACACACACACACAGACATAGCCAAAGCTTCAGGCATCACCTAACTAGGTCAGATCTTTGAGACTTGAAGTCAGAAGGTAGGAGGGGGAGATAGAGAGGAAGAAAGAGATTGAGGAAAGATAAAAGATGGAAGGACGATAGATGGGATAGTTGTCTGCTCTTGGTAAGATGGCAAGACTTGTTTAAGGCTGTGGGAGTGAGATAGTGAGGAAAAGAACACATATACACTCACAGACATTAAAAAATACATAGAGATTGACTTGTTTACACACCTAACACCTGCCGCTTTACTTCTGCCATTTATGAGATGCTGCGTTTAGGATATGAATTTGAAAATATCCTGCAGCTGCTCTTATTGCTTCCCATAACAATGTCAGGTGCATTAAACACACCCTTCTAGTTTAGGTGTTACTACAAAGACTAGTTGTGTGAAATGAGGATATCGCTGTATCAGTACAGCCATCCAGTTCTCAGTTTGAGTGATAGCTTGCCAATGCTCCTGAGAGATGACTGACTTACGTTCCCTTGAAGCAGTGATGACTGAATGTCAGTTCTGGAAAGCCACAAAAAATGCTTCAGTCAAACAGCCTGCATCTCTTTCTGTTCCCTCTGCTCCGTCAGAGGCACAGTGACAGAGCACACTGTGTTCCTTACTCAGCACAGGCTGAATGCTTCAGGAGAACGGCTTTATTGCCTGTCAACTTTAAATTCTTTAATAGTATAGTATTATTCTAAATTGTTGTGACAATTAGCAAGGCATCTTGCCAAAACCAGTACGGGCAGTAACAAATGAAACACAGGCATTTAAATTTATTTGTAAAATCTTTTTAGTGTTACTCAAGCTATGTTACAGGCAATTTACTTTTAACATTCTCACTAAGAAAAAAGCTATGAAAACTTTTGCTTTGCATTTTTTTTTTATTCCCTTGGGCTATTAATAACAGCCAGCATTTTTTTTAAAGAGCCCAAAGTTTTTTTGGTATAGGCCTCTCTTCCAAATAGCTGAGATTTTGATCCATGGTAAAGTATCAATACATTTACAAATACCAAAAATTCTGAAAAAGTCATAAAATCCTACATTTTGAAGAATTCAATCAGACTCTTTCATTTGTGTGGTGGTGTAAGAGCACAAATGGTTTTTGAGAATTAGCTCCACATTATTTCTCAAGGTACTGTATGCCATGAAGCATTGCTGGTTTGCATTCCAACAGAAAAATATTGAATTTCTAACATTTCCATCTTGAAATATCATTTGCACAAAAGTTGCATTGCCCCTGCTTGTGCCAGTGAAGCGGCAAATGTCTGTAGTTCTCATAACGCACATCGGGTTGTAGTTGTGAGGGTCTCAAGAGTGTACTGCTTCTTCTGGAGATCAGGATGATGGTCGGCCAACTCTGAATGCTGTTTTGTTAACTTGCTTCAAACTATGGACCAGGTGGAACCTTTAGAGACATTGGTTTCACACTCAGAAGGCCACAGCCCCTCTTGTAGACCAGCCAGGAATTTGCTAGGCATAGGTCAAAGATGTATCCAAACAGGGGAAAATACCATCACCTTGACTTGGCTAGGGTCTTGTGCATGTGTACCGGCATGTCAGAAAGATCAGTGCGTCCCATATGCTGATCGTAGACAGGAATGAGTGATGGGCAAGGGATGGGCAAGGGATGGCAAGCTTTGCATGGACCTCTTTGTTCCATCGTTTGATAGCTGAAAGAGGCATGATCCCACAAGCACTGCTCAAAAGGCTGACACATTTGTTGTCATACCATTTCTCTACAATCACCCCTTCAGCTGACCTTGATCAAAGCTCCACGTCCTTTCTTCACCAGCTCTTTGTCATCAAAGGAGGTCCACCAATGCACTTTGGTTGGACAGTGCCGATGCACCTGACACCCAGGTTTGCCTGCAGTTTCTGGATCAAGTTTAAACTGGTGAAGTAGTTGACACAGAAGACAAATGACTGGGTAATGATTTTGCAAAACACTGTCACCAGTTTGGGCCCTAAAGGTAACACCTGCTCCTGCTCGCTTAGGGCAACCCTGAAAAATGTGGATGGGCCTTGACAGAGCAGTAGATCACGGATGATGCCAGATGAACTGGCCCAGCAAAACAACTTAAAGCTCCACTTGTCTGGCTTGTTGGCGATATACTGATGGAAGGTGCTGGCCCTTGTGCCTTTATATGCCACCATGACCTCATCCACACTGCTTGTAAGTGGATGGAATCAGGAGCCAATGCTCACGAACCATCTCAGAGAGGAGGTGGATTTTTTTAAAAATCAGTCTGGACTGTCATTGCACTGCTGATTATCCTTAAAATGAATGAACCAGCATAACAGCTTGAATCTTTTCTTGGCATGATATCGGCTATCATGTGACATGTGGTCCCAGTAGTCCTCCAGGGATGGTAAGTTGAAAACACATGAAAAGTAGTGCTGCCAGGAAATCTTCAGTCTCTTCAGGGCTAGTCATGATTGGATTCCCCAACTCCTGGGCAGAGCACATATCGATATGTTGAGCAATGTGTTTGATAATCTTGTCAGTGAAGAGCTAGGAAAGTACTGGAAGGATGTCTTTACAGCATCAGGGGGTTCAAAGTTTGCTGCAGGTATCTGGAATTTCTCAATGTCTTCATGCTTCCAGACCCTCCTTGTGCCTTTGTTTGGACTTGAGGGTGAGTGAGGGTCAAGTGTGTCCTCTGGCTCTACCAAGAGAACTGTTTGTATGGCGTTTTTTCCTTATCTCCTCTTTTATGGGGCTGTGGTTTAAAAGATGAGCTTGTTGAGGCAACCTCCTCCTCATCCATGGATTCAAACAAAGTGTCCCCAGACTCTTCTGCTTATGTGGAATAACATTAAGTGATCAGAACAATAAATGATCAGAATTTTTTTCTTTTCTTATAGCAAATACCTAGTTTCACTAATGTTACCTTTATCATAAATGATAAATGTTTGGCTGAGCATGTTTTTAGAAAATTACTACTATATTATACTATATTATATTATACTTACTTTTAAAAATTCCATCTGAGTCCTGATGTCTGGACTGACATTCTTGTTGTTAACTTGCTGCAAGGAGGCAAAACTGAAAGTGCTTACTGTTTAAAGACACATACCTCAACCAAGTGGTAGAGACAGATCAGGCAGAGTTAAGTTCAACACATTTTTCAAAATGTGCTCTACCACAAAACTGAGCAGAATATTAAAGGGTTAACTCCCTGCTGGTCAGAAAACAGGATACTAATAAAGACGCATTAGTTAAGGACAGATTCATCTTTATTGTAACAGTTGTGGTTGCTCGAAGTTATTTTAGTGTACTTTTACTGCTAAGAAGAAATTCAGTTTAGAGCCAACCTGTTAGTGCTTTTATCTGCGACCTGACTTAAACACACATATGTTATTTTTACATCAGTGAGGAGAGGCTTCTGATACCCTTTAAAAACCCTTATTCAAACTTAAATGAAAACAAGAAAAGTTTTTTTTAGCAATAGCAAAAAAAAAAAAATCTGCAAGATGATCAAAATACAACTACAGTTATATGAATCAATAGTTAACTCTGTTCTATCCCTATGTCTACTAAGACTGTACTCACAATCTCTTTGAGCCTTGGGAAGAGTGCAGGATTGTCATTTAGTTAGAGTGCAAAAATCTTAAAAATGATCATTCATCATCAGATATATCATTTGAATGCCGCTGTGCACAAGCCCAGAACTGTGAACATTTCACTCATTACCTGTTTCTGGATGACAGGTTCCATGCTGGTGGCAGTTGCATGGTATGCATGTTGAGAGAGGCCCTCTGCCAGGAGCTTCCCGAGTGAACCCTGGGGCGCAGCGCTCACAAAACTGGCCTGCAAAACCTGGAGGACAGGAACAAGTTTCCACCCATGGAGCAGGAGGGCTGGCAGGAGCAGAGGAGATGACAGCTGAGGTCAGGGTTACCCTCTCAAGCTGGGATGTGTCTGGAGAGGATGGAAGACAAAAGATGCAAAAGGTTTTGTCATAAAACTGATGCTTATGGAGGTCATTAGTCAGTGATAACTGTTGCCTCAGAGGCCCTTTGAGGTGCTTTTCCATGAAATGAGGGGTTTGTGTATTAAGTGTATGTATAAGAGTGTGTGTCTGTGCCTGTTTGTGGGTCTCTGTACTCGTTAAGCGGTAGGTTATTAGCATTTGTTACAGTGCTGTCCCTCCCTCCCTGTCTCATTACAGGTTCTGGCCTGTGTTTACAGTTTACCGTTTGACACACACACAATAACAGATTCATCCACCCACATGCCCGTAAATGCCACACTTAATACTCTCTTGCACACGCAAGGGTGCTCGCATGCACCCACAGACGTACACTCGTCACCCAGGGAATCTTTGATATAGCAAATGAATAAATCACCGCAGCAGAGCAAGACGAGAAGAAAAGGAGACAGGAGACTCGGTGGAGGTATGTCAGATGTGTAGATCCTGTGGGGTTTCAAGATCCTGCTCTCCTCTCATGAATAGTGATGGGGGCAGACCATCCTGAACCAAATCCCTGTCACCCTTTACTCTCTACAGCCACAGAACACAAATTACTTTTGTTCCTGATCCATGACAGTACACAAAATGGACTGACACACACAAAGCTAGACAGACAAACTGACAGATAGATTGACAGATAAATAGACAGATAGATAAAATATGCTGTGCACGTATGACTAGGTAGCTTTGTCAAGTAAGAAATAAGCCAAGTGTGAATGAGCAGCTGCATAATGAGGGAAATCTGAGTGGAAGAAACAGTAAGGGGTGTGAACGAAGAAGCAGAGGAGAGGATGAAGCTTGACTTCTAACAAGCCATGATCCAATCGTTCCTTCAGCAGTGATGAAACCCAGTTCATTTGCACCTCTGAGATGTAATCAGTAGGCAGGCCTGTCCTCTTCCCTCTCCATGACTCGTCTTAGCCTCTACCCTTTACTTTCCTCTACCATCTGAATTCTATTAGCTCATTCAGTTGGGGAAATGTACAATTAAATCAGTTTGCAGGCACTGAACCCTATATTTTAGTTAATTAAAAAAATTTCATGTTAAGTCATGCTGTGTAAGTTCTCTCCATCAATCCTTTCTCCAAGAAACCTTGTCATTCCACTCAAGAGTTTAATTCCCTTGAATGGCTCAATACAGCCCCACAGAATATGACAGTTTAGGTCTCTTTAGGTGCCCATATATTCAGTCATTAAGACATCGATTTTTCATAAACTTCCAATATGGCTATGCTCTCTGTTCAAAACTCAATTTCTGTGGCGAAGAAAATGAAAGGACTTTACTGTGACTGCTGCCAAAGACTGCCTTTATAGTCTGAAGACAATACTGTCATTAAAATAATAAGGTTTGTTATAAAAGTCTCTTTGTGGTGCAGGAAGAAATTTAAGGCGTAAAGGGGAACGTGAGAAGGAGAGAGGAGAAAGATGAGAGGACAGCTTTATGGGATTTTGATATTAAAGTTTGCCTTGCAGCCTGCAGCAATAAGGCACTTCTAACACTGTTTGAGAATGAGTCTGAGACCTTACACAAATCATTAAAAGTTTCTCCCCCATGGTGTGCAATGGATGCAGTGTAAACTGTGTGCTTGAGTTTGTTTGTACGTTCATGTGGGTGGGTGGTTACAGGAAACTGTTGGATGGAATAAACATGACTGTACCTCTGTTTCTGTGTTCACAATCTTGCATGCCAGTCCTTCTGCATGCACAGAGCATGTGGAGCAACACTAGTGAGTGTGTGTCATAATGCCTACTGAGCAACTAATTAAAATAGTGTAAGAAGGTGTGAGAGAGCTGGTGATTTAGGCCAGCTGTTCTGTCTTTTTGCTCTAATCCACTGTAACGCCTTACCAATCCTGCCTGTACTTTACAGTCCAGACTGCTGGACAGAAAGGGAGGAAGGACATGATATAAATAAGAAGAAAATTTCAAGAACTACTTCCTAACATCTGAGATTAAATGTTCCACTTTCTTCTGATCCAGATTTGAAACAGTTGAAGAATTCAGTGAATCCATACACTGACACTGTTTCAGTAACAATCTTTGTTGTAAAATAGGATTAATATTAAATTGTATTTATTTTTCTACCATAATGCCTAAATACATTCTGATATATAGGTACACACAGCCATATTCCTAAGATATGTAAAGCCAACAATAATGGATTTGGTATTTTTTAAACTCTCAGTGCAGAACACATAAATGATAGAGAGGTAAAGTTAAAAATAACATGTAAAGTAGAGCCCAAACCCACTGTGCTACATACATTCATAACAGTATCGGATATATCTACAAACACTAATAAATACAGAGACACACTTACAGTTGAGTCCTCCAGCGTTGCTGATTCTGATAGCGGTCACGTTGTAAAGGAGACGCTGGAACTCAAAGGCAGACAGAGGAGGATCAAAGCTCATCTCGTGTTCATGAAGCCTGTGGAATAAAAACAGAGGAAACAATTTACAAAATGTTTGCGCAGTGCATTCAAGTGTTAACACACTAAACAGCAGAAACAACACATTTTAAAGCTACAAACCCCCAAACTGAGTGAAAGTATTTGTACGGTGGATTTACAGTATGAAGAACTGCAGCTTTTCTTTTTTCAGTGTAATTGTTCTCAACAATGAAGACAATAACAAATGCAGTGCTACATATGTACTTGTGTTTTTATGCTGGGTTGTCTACAGCACTCCTAGCAGGCATACAGTTTGAAAAATAAAGTTGCTGATGTCAACAAATATTAGGCTTTGCCATCTGCTGAAGGAAGCTTTGGAAAGCCAGGCTGCG